AGCAGTTAGAAATAAAATTACTGTGAAATTTAATAGAAACTATAGATTTTTCCTTATGAATTAGGCTTATATTTACAGTTAGGTTTCCTGTTAAGTGTAGGGATTATGTTATGGTTAGGAAATAGATTAGACTCTTAAATAAATCTGAAACTTACATTAACATCTATGCATTCGGGAAAAGCTACATCAATGGAAACTACAACATTTTTTATAATATCAAGGTTTGAGGACAGTGAATAGTTCATGTTAGGGAATAAAATGGTTTCCGAGTTTGACTCAGAAAATCTAAAGAATTTAGGGCAAAGAGCAACTTTTTGCCAAGAAGAACAACTGGTATACCATGCTGAGTGAAAACTCGAGTATTTTTCATTGACTTTAGGATTGGTAACCATTACGATCAGGGTTAGGGTTAGAGTTTCTGGCTGGGGTTAGGGTTAAGGTTACAGAAATAGGAAATTTAGCTTCAAACTGAAAGTAAAGCTTAGACCTATGAGTAAGAGGATAAATGTGAAGTACAGTATTTTTATTAATGTTAGGATCAGGGGACAATTAAGCTTAGGGTTATCTTTAGTGTTACAAGTGTGCTTAGGGTTCAGGTTAGGTGTAGATTAAGATATTGGGTAAAACTACACCCTATTTTAAGAAGGATAAGTTGAGTCAAAATTAGAATGAGCTAGGTGCCAGTGGCTCATGCCTATAATCCTAGCTACTCAGGAGGCTGAGATCTGAACGTTGCCATTCAAAGCCAGCCCAGGCAAGCAAGTCCTTCAATTAACCAACAGAAAACCAGAATTGGTGCTGTGGCTCAATTGGTAGAGTGCTCACCTTGAGCTAATGAGCTGAGGGATAGCTCCCTCGCCAAGAGTTCAAGCCTCACAACCAAAAACATAAATACAATTAATGAAAAGTAGTGCATTTGTGTTACTTTTTGCATTTCGATATAATTCAGATTAAGGTGAGGGTTAGTGTTTTCTTAATTCCAGTTATAGTAGGGCTATGGAAAGGTAAATTTTAAGGTAAAACTGAGTAAGAAGTAGAAGCAAAGTAAATTTGAATTTCAATAGAAACTAAAGTATTTTCCTAACATTTACTACTCATTTTTAATTTGAGTTGCAGTTATGGTTAGATTCCAATTACATTTAAGGTTATGGTTAAGGTGAAGAAATGAGTTGATGTTAAGTAAACATACTTTACTATCTAGGAGTTAGGGAAAGTTAGCATCAATGGAAACTGCAGTATTTTTCATGATATCAGAATTGAGGTCAACAGATGTAATTGTTTACATTAGGAGAATGAGATTGCTTCAGATTTAGAGTCAGGAAATCTGGAGAGTTTAGGGAAAACTGCAACTTTTTTCAAGAAGTATAACTGGAATATCAGGATAAATAAAAATTTGCATTATTTTTGTTAACTTTATGATTGATCTACCATTAGGAGCAAGGTTAATATTAGAGTTTCTGGCCAAGGTTATGGTTTGGATTAGGGAAATGGAAAATTTACTGGCAACTTGAGAGAAAATTTTAGAACTACAGATGAATATAAGTTAGGATGAATGTGAAATAGAATATTACTATTAATATTAGGATTCAAGTATAATTAGGCTTAGGGTTAGTATCAGTGTTCCAGTAAAGGTTAGAGTTAGGGTTAGAAAAAGGGTATAATATTGGATAACTGCAACCTATTTTAAGAAGGCTGAGTCAAATCAAAATTAGGATAAAAGAAAATATGGGGCCAGAGCAGAATCAATGGATATTGCCATCTTAAATGAAGAAAAATAACAACAACAAAAGAACATTATAAAGCAAACACATTTATTGGTCAAATGTCAAACCTGTTTAAAAAGTTTTGCTTTGAATCAAAGCAGAAGGAGTTGTGCTGCTTGGCTTATTTCTCCGCCAGAGGTTTTTCTGTTGAAGATTGGTGGAAAAATGTGATAACAAAGTGAAGCCTGACTCTGAAAAAGCACTTGTAGTTCCTTAGTTCTCTACTTTAGAAGATGTTCACTATGTGAATATGTGATGTAATGTCATGTCATATGCTCTGAACTGGTCCAGGACAAATACATGGCCCAGCCTTGCCTGGAACTTGCTTAGCCCAGATTTGTCTCCAGTCTGTGATCCTCTTGCTTCTGCTTTCCAAGTGCTGGAATTATAGGTGTGGAGCACTAGATCTGGGTAAGCAAGTCTTTATCATTCTTGTTACATATAGTATAAACAAGTATTACCTGAAATAGCATTTTATGTTATTCAGATGGTAGGTGCTTTTCCAGAAAATTAGTATGAGATGTGGCTTGCTCTCAAATGCACAGGTGCTTCAAGTTATTGTAGCCAACATTAGTGATTGGCATATAAACAAATATGCCTTGTTTCTTTAAAAAACAATTATAATCTATACATTTAATCACCATTTAATACAATCAGCTATGTATACATAAAGACACCAAATGTCATCATTTATGTTTCTCAGAACTGTTTCAAATGTTTAGAACTCAAGGAGATTGAGAATCATACATATTTAGAACTCATGGTAATTGACAATCATTCTCAAAACTACCTATGTGCTCAAAGTACTGTAAATATACTATTAAGATATATTTTCAGCTTTTGCTCCCTTGGTCATTGCTACCTCTATCTGTCACAGGACTGGAGTAGAGAGAAGATCATAATTTTCTGAGAAGAAAATTTAGTTTTAATAGAAGCACAAACAATGCTAATATCATGTACATGGGTATAAGCACACATACCTAGGCTAACAATAATAATAGCAGAACACAGTAGACTTCCACTTCCTGGACTTAGCACTAGATTTCTACATGGATCCAAGTAGTCATGGAGGATAGGGGAAGAAAATGATTGACAGAGACCCAAATGTGGAAGCTGCTTTTTGCCTTCTGTGGTACTGACTCAAAGGAATCTGCTATGAAACAACAGTGTGTTTATATTGATGTAGAAAACCAGAATTAAGACTTCAGCAAGCAAGGGAACATGTTCTCATACAGCACAGAGGCAAGTCTTACCAGGAAAGTCTGTATCTTAATATTTACTCTGTATGTATATATATTTGTAGATCTTAACAATCATTCAAAGACAGAAGGGAATAATAAGGAGAAAGTAAAGGTCCATTCTGGAAGGACCACACCATAGACAATGACAGAATTAATAAGATCAGAACTAGTAAGAGTTTGTGCAATGTCTCAAAAGGGAAGTCCAAAACTTCATAAATCCAGTCTTCTCTTGAACCTGTAGGCCACACTGATCCTTAAAACCTACAGGAGAAAGAATAGGCACAGTCAAATGACTTTCTACTAAAGGAGGAATAATTTAGGTCTAGAAGTGTAAGAAATATGCTCCTAAACACATTTCTGTTGGAAAAGGAGATTTCAGTAGCTATAAGCCAGGGAAGGAAAAATGTATTTCTGCCAAGGGTTATCTGGATGTTTATAATAACATCATGGGCCATATAAAATTATTGATGGAGACAGACAGCCATGAAGCTGACAAAAGATACACATATGTGTCTGTCCTGTCATGTGCCAAATGACTTTGCAGGCCTTAGACAACCCAAAGGTCTGATGATCACTACATTTGCCATAGAGATACTAAAAGTAAATAAAGAAAGAGCTCTTCTTTCTAGAAATTTAAAAGCTAACACCCATAAAGAAACTTCTGTATAAAAGAAGTCAAGATCAACTCACAAATATTAGATATCAGAAATCTCTTAATGTACCATAAATAACAACATTGAAACTTACAGTATCAGAAAGGCAGTCAAACCTAGGGCTCTAAGTACCACCAACACTTATACATCAGGCTGCAAACTACTGTCTAATACAGCAATGCTTAGCAGTTATCAAATGATTGTCAACACAAACAGATTTATAAACAAAGGATTGATAAGGAAAAAAGGCAGCAAAAGTGAAGAAGTAGAAAAATTTTACAAAAGAACCATTAAAAAACATAGTCAATCATTCTCTATACAGCTAATAGAAAGAACCAGAAGGATAGTGAGCAAGGTGCCATCAGCAAGGTTCAAATAACTGGTCTGTGAGCTTTTCTCAGAATCATTTTAACATCCTAAGGAAAATATATCTCCAAATTCCACACTTTGTTAACAAATTTTGTTTTAATCTTTGGGAATCATTCTTATTTCAACATTTTAAGGAAGTAGCTATTCAGATATTTAATCTTTTACTGTTGAACATTTTCTCAACTGATTTAGCATTCTTTCCTTAAAGTAAATGTGTCATAGAAACCTATACATTTAACTAATCAGAAATAGAGTTTTTCTCCAGGAGCCATTAAAAAGATTCAACATTAGATTCTTTTCCAAGGCGAACTAGAATTAAATGTCCCATGAGGCTGATTTTTTTCACAGTTTGTATTGGAGAAGAGCTCCAGTACTAGAGAAATTTTCTATTTAAGAAACAAACCCTGGAAGGATGACTTTTTAAAGTTATTATATACAAGTAAAAAGCAATGTATAAACTAAGTGGTAAAAATAATCTCAAAGAATAATTTCAGAGTTGCAGAAAAAATTAATAATATTTCCTGCTAGAGAAAATAAGAGATTGAGAGACCAGTAGCTCATTTGGAAAATCCTTAGTAACATATATGCTACATAAGAAAAATAGGGTGGTCACACAAGAGATAGTACATTCACCAATCAGAAAGTAATGAAGTTTCCAGCATGGAATTAGTACAAAGTCTCATGGTCAAAATATTCAGGATTTTACATTGAACATTGTCCAGAATTGGAGGCACATGACACAAAGAAATTGCATTCTCTTTATATCTCTGAGAAGATAGCATTGCTGAACTGATTTTTTTTAAAAAGCAACTAATATTCACTTTAATATTTTATTCTGAAATAATTTGTCCATACCCGGTTATGTACAAAGATTCTAGAGTCTACTCATTTCCATTGCAAGTCATGATTAGGAATTATCACATACCAAGTAGCAATTTCATTGTGAAAAATGTCCCTAGAAAGCAGTCATAGGGATTCTTTTCCTGTTCACAAACATGATGATTGGGTCCTCAAGTGCTTGCATGACATGCAACTCCCTCAAACCTTGTTATGTCCTAATTTTATATAATTGAAAGAATTATTTAACATTTCAAGAAAAAAACACTTATACAAATACCTTATTAAAACTGTCTGATAAACTTTGGAGATTCCTCAAAAGACTACACATATGACCCAACAATCCCACTTCTAGGCATTTACCCAAATAATCACAAACAAGGCCATACTAAAGCTACCAGCACAACTATGTTTATCACAGCATTATTCACCATAGCTAAGATATGGAACTAACCCAGATGCCCTTCAGTAGATGAATAGATCAAGAAAATGTGATAGATATATATATACACACATATATAATATATACATAAATATATATACACATACGTACAATGATATTCTATGCTCAATCAGAAAGAATGACACCACCCCATTTATTAGGAAATGGAAAGATTTGGAAAAAATACATACTAAATGAAGTAAGCCTGGCCCAAAGAAACATAAGTTCCATGGTTTCCCTTATCTGCAATAACTAGTATACATCTAGGATAATCTTACCAGACAAGTAGAAAAGGTCAAAAGCTATGCACATATGACCAAATAAGATGGTGCTAAACAAAATGAAACCCAAGATAGGGACACAAGGGTTTTTTTCTTTGTTGCTGTTGTTTTTAAAGGACTTATAATGTACTATGTGATTTCTTTTGTTTTCTTTGTATGTTCTTCCCCCATGGTATACCCTTGTTTTCACTGTATTGTAAAGATACTGTACAGAGGGGTTACAGTTACATGAGTAAGGTAATGAGAATATTTCCCATTGAGCATTGTTACCCCCTCCTTTGTTTTTCCCCTACTATCCCTTCTCTCCCCAACTCCTCCCTCCCCGGCACCCTACAAGTTGTAAGGTTCATTTTCAACATAGTGTCTTGTACATCTCATTGTTACAATGGGTCAACCTGTATCCTTCTTTTAGCATTTTGTTATTTCCCTTCCCCTCCCCAAATTAGAAAAATGTATATACAAGATGCAGGGCACCAACATCAAATACAGTGAAAACATTTTGGTACATTAACTAGGGTTCGTGTTATTAATTTCTAAATTTGTGTTTGAAGATTCTTTACTTTGAAGTTGTTGAAATTAACAAAAGAATGCATGCACATCTGTGGTGATTCATCTTTGTAATAGTAACATTCCTTTAGAAATGAAGAATAATCTTAAATTTTACCTGCTGTACATATAAACGAAGAGAACCTTTTGCTCAGAAGGCCAATACTCAAAGGATATGTAAAGAGTGACCAAGAAGTTCAAGTTTCCATATTGTGTTCCATGAAGAGCTCTTGCACAGCTGCAAGAGGCAACCTATTGATCTTGTAAAGAAAATGAAAGCAGATAGTATAGTTATGACCACAGGGCAGTGTTCGTTATTGATTATTTTAATTAACCAAACAACAAAGGAAATAATATGCTTCAAAATGATCATCATGCGAGGTACACCCACTCAGATCAAGAATGCTACTATTCATTGCTCAGATCAATATTGAACGTCTTTTTTGATAATAGCCTTCAAAAGCCACTATCCACCCTAAATATTTCTTGTAATGGAAAAATCCTTATCCCATAAGGGATATCTGACTTTGCAACACATTTAGGGTTAGGTTTGGTGAACATAGATATTCCTGACCTTGATTTAAATATAAAGTATGGCGTAAAATAGGAGTATTTTTCTTGCAACTATTAAACTCACTTTGAAGACAAATTCCAAGGCTGATTTTTTTATTGTAAAGGTAGAACATTGTAACCCCCTTCCCTGCTTTTTCCCACGTCACTCCTACATTCCCGCTCCCCACAAGTTGTAACGTTCAGTTCCAACATAGTGTCATCTTGTGAGTATCACTGTTGTATTGGTTCACCCTTTGTCTTCTGTCTCACCATTTTTGGAAGATTTTGGTGAGTAGTTTGAGTAAGAAAGTGAGGAGAGAGTATTGGCTTCATTGAATGTCTGTTCCAACTTGATATTAAGCGCTGTTAAAAGAAAAAAACAACAACTCTCACCTAAAATATTTCACAGCTTTGTGATCAATATTGTATTAGACAGAAGAAAAATATTTCCGAGTGACTTTCTTGTGAAAGCCCCAAATAAGCTTGCCGCACAGACTGAAAGTAAAGATATTTGACTCAATTTTTCCTTTAAGAAGAGGATTGGCTTCTCAAAATTACCTTAATAGATGGTTCCGATTTCTCTATGCTGAATGAAAACAATTAACATATGTACTTTATAAATACATACTGAGTGGAATGTGGAAGGCCTTAGTGAATCAGAAAGGAACCTTTAGCTTCTATAAACAAACTTCTCTTAGATAATTCGATAAAGCTGCAGAGTTTACTTACACTACAATGAGTCTTAGAGCAGCTATAATTAAGTCCATCCAAATACTTTCATGTAGAACCTCCAGAGAAAAGGAGAGTGATCTTATAATGTTATATAGTTCTAAGTAAAATTGCTATATAATCTTTTATCCTGTGAAGTTAAATTTTCATAAATATTAAAAAAATGCGATTTAGAGAAAATGCAAGTTTCTAAAGGAGAAGAATGGTTATATGTAGTAACCATTGTTTGGGCATTGTCTTACCAATTCCAGAAATGACCATTGAAACACTTTTTTCAAAATTTATTCCATGAACTCTACCACAAACATTCACATGAGTTAAATGTGTCTGAAATTAGATGATTAAAATGTTACTCTCCACTAAAATCCAAAATCTAGTTCATTGAACTAGAATGTCTATTAATTACAACATTAATTTAAATTAAATGAAAATTCACTCTTCCTCACCTCTCTATCCCATATTTCTAGGAAAGATTATTATTAATTCAGCAGAAGCTAATAACATTTAGACTTCCTTTTTGGCTTGATGAGTCAATTTGAAACAACTATTCAAGTGTTATTTTGATGTCAGATGCATAAGACTTTTTGAAGTAGTATTTTCCTATTTATATTACATTTATATTTATATTACATGTCGCTCTGATTCTGCAAGTTGGTTATTGGAAAGTATATGAAAGAGAAAAAGAAAAAGCTACTTTTCTTTAGCATTTTGATGAATAGGTCATTTAAGCAAAAATCTGTATGTGATCATTCATAGATAATAAATTCCTATGAAACACTTTTTTTGTTGTTGTCAGCAGTTTGAAATAATTAGGTAAAAGATGTAGCACTTCTTTTCCTCTTTTTATAGTAGTTCTAATAGAACTTGAAATTATTTTACAGTATTGTTGGAAGTGCTAAATAAATATATAACAGAGATCACAGAATACAAATGCTAAGTATATATCAAAGATCACGGAAGCAGCTAAGAGATCATGCTATATGAAATTTGAACACAAAATGCTAAACAATTCAATTATTAAAGAGAATTAAATTTCACTTTTAAGGACAGTGATAGGAACTGAAAATTTTACTATGATTTAATGTTGGAACAAAATAATTTCTTATTTATTTTCAATCTTTAAATGTGTTTGAAGAGAAAATATTTAGGGATGTATCTTCAAACACATAGCACCATGATTATTTGGCACACTAAACATTCCTGAAAATACTCACACATAAAAAAGTGTTCTTAAAAATGCTGCTAAGTTGTTACTATAATGGTTTCTTCTAAAATACAGTTACTTCAATATATTTTTCTAGCCAATTCTAAAGAGCTAAAGTTATAATAATCTTTAAAAATTGGAAAATAGAAAATGTACTTTACAGACATTTAAAAGCACTTATTATTGCTTAAATGGTCAAGTTTCTTACATTGTGGCTATTTGCTAGATGGTAAGTTAGAGGATAGTCCAAAATTGCCATCTGAGGAATGCTTTAAAAATTTATCATAAAGAAAATAATTATCAAGGTTCACTTAGTAACACAAATCAGCACAGGAATTAGAGTTATCGTAATAGGTTTAAAGGTAAAACACTAATTTGCAAAGAACTGCAAATTTCATAAAAAGAAAAATCAGCAATAGATTTTGCACATATCTATATCCTATATCTAGTATTATATGAAATTTTAAAGATTTTGAACCGACTTGAAGCATTTATAAAAATGTATGCACCAAACAATAAAGAGAATTTTTGACAATTAATATCTAGTTCAAAATCTGTTAAAATAATAATTAGATATGTGGATTTAAATGTCATAGAAATAACTTACTGGTTAATTTTTATGTGGCAGATAACAATAACATATGAAAAAATAAGATTTATAAATTATTACTTAAAAGAATACAAGGCCTGGCTTCAAAGTCCATGCGAACAATTTCAGGAAATCCCATGAATGGAAAATATTGAGAAGGTTTGAGTCAACTTTAAGTAATTAAAAATAAAATAGAAATTATAAAAGTAATTTAATTTTAATTGAATAGTTTTTCAATATGAAAAAATAAAATTTTGCCCCAAAACAAGGTATTTTTGTACTTTTCTCATATCTGTGTTTATAGTATCAAATTTAATTTTTTCTTGTGTATTTTGGAGAATCAAGTTTCAGAGACAAATTTAAATCAGAAAATAAAACTTTTCATTCTTGTTTCATTTATTTTCTGGGAAATTTTCTTCTTAATGCTTCATTTTCAAGTAGTATAAGCTTCATTACTATAGTCTTCTATGGCAATTACAGCTGCTAGAGAATTGTTTTCAAATGTCATTTTTATTGTACATCATGATGGTTCTACAAATATTTTATTTTCTTGAGGAAAATATTTATCTTTGATATTAAACTAATAATTTTAATGTCTGCTGCTTCTAATTCAGATTATATTTTTCGTGACATGAGCTGCATTTTCTCTTTTCTTCTCATTTTTATTTATCCATGCAATTACAATTTTTTGCAGCGGCATGGTTGTCTTTACATATAAATATTTTCTCGCTTCCTTCCTTTTACTCTCTTTTATGTTTCTCTTTTGATTTTCTTTCCTTTTGGGGGGAGGGTGTGGGATAAAATTATTAAGCCATTGGAGAGAAAAATATATTATTTCCTACAGGCAACTGACAAGAAAAATGAAAAACTTTATCACCTGAAAATTATTTAAAGT